AGACAATATTATTGTAGATCTTTCTCGAATTCGATGGATCTTCGAGATTTTAAACCATCGTAAAAATCGAAATTACTGGTTTTTAATTTCTTAAATCAATGCTGATACTTTTTGATATCCAGAAGCATTAATGACGTATGTGTATGCAAAATTTTTAGCACTTATGGCAATTGCACACTTTCGAAACTCCTGAAACATCAAATGTCCAATATGGATCGCCTCCACAGTTTAGCCGTGCAGTTTATAGCGGTCCAAATAGCACACGACGTCTTAAAGACGTCCATTTTAGGTCTGAACGTCTTACGACCTAAAATGGACGCCTTCGATACGAAACACATCTGAAATAAAACGATTCAAAGACGTCCCGAAGTGGACGTTTCAAGAGATCGGTTTTATATTAATTCTATAATTAGATAACCGAAGATCCTTCATACAAAAATAAAAAAATGAATTTTTCGGTGTCTCTTGAATTTTATATAGACGCATTATACAACATTAGATATTCCTATATCCAAATAAATATCGTAATAACTTAAAAATTCAATATCAAAAAATTGACTACTTAGGAACTGTATCGATTAATTTACAATTAATCTAATATCGATCTCTACAAATGTACATTATTCTTCCAGCCTGTTTCTTTCTTTTTTTCATCCATCGCGCAAGGCTGTAGAATAGCAACGTTTGATCTCCAGCCACACTAAGCTGACATTAATTTATGCTAGCTTCGTGTGCGAAACAGAACTTACGTTTTCAGCGGAAGCTCTTCCATCCACCGATCAATTTTACGATTGCACGTTCGAACAAGTTGCGAGGCTTCGAATGAATGCACTTTTACCTCAATCTACCTTTTCATCCATTGATATCAAACGTTTCTGATCGAACGTAGCCTAGTTTATCGAAAAAGGTCAAATACTCCATTTGAAAAGCTACCTTTGACACTCCGGCCGCATTCAAAACATGCTCTTCGCATACATCAGGAATATATATTTAACTGCTCGAACCGCATTGTCCTTTTTCCACGATGTCAAAACCGAGCACACGTTCTTCGATCAATCGACAGAAACTTAAACCTCGATAACCCCTTCATTTCACAGAGATCACGACGACGCAGGTTTGTATCGCACGCGTTCCTTATGCTGGAACAATGCATACGAGTCCGCTTTTTTATATCTTATTTTTCTTTTTTTTTTACGCGGCGCATGAATTCCTTTCAGAAAGATTTGTGCGTTCGATCCCTTTCCCGCTGACAAAGTACGCGGGAGCATTCGCGGCCGAATGCAGCCAGGAGTGTCGCATTAAATCGTAACGAGTCGGCCGCGCATTACGCAATTATCACCTCAATATTCTTCCGTCGTTCTTCATAAATAACGCCGCGAGCGCGGCTACATTTGCAACGGCATCGAATAATCCATCAGGCCGGCATTCCCGCCAGGGGCGCCGGTTAAATAGCATTGGTTCTGGTGCGCAATGCATTACTCATCGCCGGGGCATAGTCGAGTTTACAAACCCATATATTCATCGCGAAGTCACGGCGTTAGGCACACCGGCAACTTGTTATCCGTGCGCTGTCGCTTTGCAGCGCACTTTCAATCGCGTTCACCGGAAACAGAGTGGATCGCGAACATTGAATCTGAAGAAATAGAACCCGGCCCGCGTGGCCGGGTTTTCATTTTAATGAGGCTACAAAGGGGGAAGGGCGTGAAAGGGCCCGGGGGGAGGGATGGGGACGGGCGCGGAAACGTTCCACGTAATCGTGTCCCCAGATGAAACGGCCCCGGACTTTCGACGAAGCGGGGGAAAAATAAAGTGTTGAAAAGCGGAGAAACGAAGACGCTCGCTCGTCCCGGGAACAATGCTCCCCAAGGAACTCGCTGGAACCGGCGATTGTATTTATACAATTAAAGCTTATCCCTCTCCTTGTCTTCGGCCCGCAGCCTCTTCAGCCGCCGTCTCCGTCGTCTCCAACACGCCTCAGACGCAGTTAACGCGCCAGTGAAATGCAAGTGAATCGTGTTATGATTATTGCGTTGATGCGCCGTTTCTAATAAAGACACCTCGTCCTATTCGGAGGCGGCGGCTCGTAGCTTTATCTACGACCTCCGCCGTTGGATGCTGGTACACGCGGCGGAATTGCATCCGCGAATTTCTGCATTTCGCGAAACGGAAAATCGATATCGCAATTAGCCCCTTCGCCGCTGTCTTTCGTCGGCGGACCCCGCGCGCGCGGAACACCATCGTGTTTACCTGTTCCCTGTTAAACTGCTCGGGTTACTTGGCGAACGTTTTGCTGCGGAGTCCCGGGAGGTGAGAAAATTATTGCGATAAGCTGCATTGTTTGTGTTCCCATGTTCTTCATTTCTGTACGTTGGCGAAGCCGTTTCCCTTTCCGCGCCCAAATTTCTTGTTTCTGTCCGTTCCCGGTGTCGCATTTTATTTGAATTGTTCGGCTTCCTTCGAGTTCCGTGGCAATTTTCTTCCTAAAAATGCCGTAACACATTGCGTCGACCGGCAATTTTCCAAAAATTCGTTTGCACTGTAAAGAATAAAATATTTGTATTATAATATGATATATTATAATATTAGTAAATTATTATAATATTATAATATTAGTAAATTATTATAATATTATAATATTAGTANCCGAGCACACGTTCTTCGATCAATCGACAGAAACTTAAACCTCGATAACCCCTTCATTTCACAGAGATCACGACGACGCAGGTTTGTATCGCACGCGTTCCTTATGCTGGAACAATGCATACGAGTCCGCTTTTTTATATCTTATTTTTCTTTTTTTTTTACGCGGCGCATGAATTCCTTTCAGAAAGATTTGTGCGTTCGATCCCTTTCCCGCTGACAAAGTACGCGGGAGCATTCGCGGCCGAATGCAGCCAGGAGTGTCGCATTAAATCGTAACGAGTCGGCCGCGCATTACGCAATTATCACCTCAATATTCTTCCGTCGTTCTTCATAAATAACGCCGCGAGCGCGGCTACATTTGCAACGGCATCGAATAATCCATCAGGCCGGCATTCCCGCCAGGGGCGCCGGTTAAATAGCATTGGTTCTGGTGCGCAATGCATTACTCATCGCCGGGGCATAGTCGAGTTTACAAACCCATATATTCATCGCGAAGTCACGGCGTTAGGCACACCGGCAACTTGTTATCCGTGCGCTGTCGCTTTGCAGCGCACTTTCAATCGCGTTCACCGGAAACAGAGTGGATCGCGAACATTGAATCTGAAGAAATAGAACCCGGCCCGCGTGGCCGGGTTTTCATTTTAATGAGGCTACAAAGGGGGAAGGGCGTGAAAGGGCCCGGGGGGAGGGATGGGGACGGGCGCGGAAACGTTCCACGTAATCGTGTCCCCAGATGAAACGGCCCCGGACTTTCGACGAAGCGGGGGAAAAATAAAGTGTTGAAAAGCGGAGAAACGAAGACGCTCGCTCGTCCCGGGAACAATGCTCCCCAAGGAACTCGCTGGAACCGGCGATTGTATTTATACAATTAAAGCTTATCCCTCTCCTTGTCTTCGGCCCGCAGCCTCTTCAGCCGCCGTCTCCGTCGTCTCCAACACGCCTCAGACGCAGTTAACGCGCCAGTGAAATGCAAGTGAATCGTGTTATGATTATTGCGTTGATGCGCCGTTTCTAATAAAGACACCTCGTCCTATTCGGAGGCGGCGGCTCGTAGCTTTATCTACGACCTCCGCCGTTGGATGCTGGTACACGCGGCGGAATTGCATCCGCGAATTTCTGCATTTCGCGAAACGGAAAATCGATATCGCAATTAGCCCCTTCGCCGCTGTCTTTCGTCGGCGGACCCCGCGCGCGCGGAACACCATCGTGTTTACCTGTTCCCTGTTAAACTGCTCGGGTTACTTGGCGAACGTTTTGCTGCGGAGTCCCGGGAGGTGAGAAAATTATTGCGATAAGCTGCATTGTTTGTGTTCCCATGTTCTTCATTTCTGTACGTTGGCGAAGCCGTTTCCCTTTCCGCGCCCAAATTTCTTGTTTCTGTCCGTTCCCGGTGTCGCATTTTATTTGAATTGTTCGGCTTCCTTCGAGTTCCGTGGCAATTTTCTTCCTAAAAATGCCGTAACACATTGCGTCGACCGGCAATTTTCCAAAAATTCGTTTGCACTGTAAAGAATAAAATATTTGTATTATAATATGATATATTATAATATTAGTAAATTATTATAATATTATAATATTAGTAAATTATTATAATATTAATATTAGTAAATTATTATAATATTAATATTAGTAAATTATTATAATATTAATATTATAATATTTTTGTTCTTTATAACATTTTAGTTGACTGTCTCTATGAAAATTTCACTATATAGTTATGCATTTTATTATTTTTTATCGTTTATACAAAAAAATAAAAGAATTTATTTCCTACTACCCCCTCATGTACTCAACAATTTTCACTTTATGAACAGAATACTTAGCTTTTTCACCAAAGAAATATTAGCGTCCTTATACATTTCGCAACACTTTTTCCAATTCTTCTAACAAACTTCCTTCGAAGTTTGTCTTCGTCTTCGTTCCGATGTTTAGAAGGAACCCTGACGTTGTAAGTTTCAAGCATTGCTTATTCAATTTTATGTGCAATTTATAAAATCATTTTTCTTAATAATCGCATAGTAAAGGAACATTTGAACCTGCGGGCCGTCGGATCGATACTTGGGCGTTCGAATGCTAACGCAGGTCATCCTGATTTCGGTATATGAACAAGTTGTTCATGCTAACAAATATTGTAATATAATTATTTATAGTTTGCGAGATTGATTTAATAAATTTTCTGAATTATATTGAATATAATATCGAGAATTATTACGAATCTGGTATACGAATTCTAGGGTGAATCTGGTTTCTGCAGGAAGCAAACTGGCCGCTCTGAAAGTACCTAGATGACTCCCAAGGGCGTTTAATTGGAATAAATATTGTAATTAATTCTCTTTTATACAACGCGGTCGTGCGTTGGTATTGAAAAAATTAGAAGTTCTTTCATTCATCGATATTAATATTATTGATAAAATAATAATTTCTTATTCTTGTCGTGTGATGGCGTTAATTATCAGTAAGACCATTATATTTTGATTCTTAAGTTCTCTCTCTATATTATACTTCTGCGGTATTAATGGGAATTTTGGCTTAGCAAAGATATAGCCCTGGTACAACAAGGGTTTGTGACAATAACTGTCAAAATATTGGATTATTGACTTGAAAGTGTTCTGAAATTTTACACGATGGGCATTTAATAAATTCAAAGAGTTGAGTAAGTATTAACTCTGATGTAACTCAGAAAATTCAGTATTGTAACAATTATATATATATATATATATATATTCAATTGTTTCAATAATTTTTTTTCAACAACACAGTAACTAAATAATACACTAATAATAAAAAAAATCTAGTGGAAGATCAGTGTTTGCTTGAATTAAAACATGATAAAATTTGGTGTGCTGTAAATTTTACAGCTGAATATGCAATTAATAAGCTTCTGAATATAATATCAATGATTTTACAGAAGGGATATCTCACCAAATCATTTATGATGTCATCCGTACAACGTGCTTTTACTCAAAAGCTGAGTAAACAACATGCAGCAGATGTCAGGCGACAAATTGCTACCTCTACCTCATATTCTCGAGATTTGTCAAAGAGTGGCAGTTCATTCTCAGGGTTTTCTTCGACAGTATGTTATATACCAATCGTAGTTTTACTTCAAATATTCAGAACATTTGTATTAATCAACTGTAATATGATTTTTTAAGATGTCTCTGTGCGAAGTATTAGAGCCACTAGATTATGAAGAGTTTCTAGGCCAGCACCAATCAGTTCTTGACCGTGATCCTCTGAAATTGATCCTAGACTTTCCACCTGGTGATGTAGACCTACAAGTTGTCAAAAGGAAGATACGTACAGAGGAAGCAGTGGTTCCCCATGAATCTCTGTAAGATCATTTCCCTCTACAATGAAATTATTATTCTTGTGATGTTACTATATCAACTGTTTCAATCCTTAGGGATACAGTATCTGCATATGTCAGAAGATGCATAGATAGCTTCACTTCTGACTGGGTTTATGTTCATCGTAAATACAAGCGTAGAGTGTCCCCCATTGCTAGAGACAGATTATTACAAGACACACCAAGACAAGATTTTGAGGTAATCATTTGAACATAATACGTATTATAAATAATTTGAGCTTGAGTTTAAAGTAAATGTAAAATAGGTGGATCAAGAAGACACAAATGGTTCAGGCTCACCGAATGAAGAAGAAGATTTATCCAACTGTGGGGATACACCTAGAGGTTCTTGGGCTAGTTTGGATTTGAGACATTCCCAACATGATCCTCTTCTTCCAAGCTTACTGGACCGCGTCTGTCCGGAAACTATTGACCAGATGAATGAACAGAAACGTTCAGAAGACAGACAAGTGAGTGTACAAAAATTTGAATGCTTATTATAAAGTTCTAATAAATAATTACCTCTTTCAGGAAGCATTATTTCCGCTGTATGCGCCCCCAGCATCACCAGATGACGAATGGCAAGAAATTGGTGTCGCCCCAGAGCCCTCGGAACCTTTCTCACATAAGATCCTTGTAAAATGTCTTCAATTAAAATTAGAGCTAGAGGTTGAACCAATCTTTGCAAGTTTAGCATTATACGACGCCAGAGAAAAGAAAAAAGTGTCCGAAAATTTTTACGTGGATATGAACTCTGAAGGATTGAAAAGAATGCTTGGCAGTCACATCGCGTACAGTGATGCCAGTACTTTGGCTAGAAGCTGTGTCATGAGTATTAGCAAACCGAGCCCAGATTTGTTTTTAGTTGTCAGACTTGAAAAGGTGTTGCAAGGTGATATATCAGAGTGTGCCGAGCCATATTTGCGTGACGATAAGAACAAGGAGAAGGTAATTACACATAGGTTGTACCACTCAATTTGTTCACGCTGATTAAGTTAGTTGCATCTTAAATTGTTTAACATCAGGTAAGAGCAGCCGCTGCAGCGGCGTGTGAACGATTAGGTCGCTACCGAATGCCACTCGCTTGGACTGCTATCCATCTCTCTGGAGTGATAGGGGGTGGTGGGGACACTGACAGCACTGGTAGCGCTGGTTCTCTAGACAGAAAATCTGGAGGACTAGAACAATGGCGCAAAAAAGTGGAACAACCTACCAGACGAGGTTCTCTTGAAAGAAGGAGTTCGGATAAGAGACGCAGCTGGTCTCCGGACGATTTTGCTAACTGCCTCGACACATTTAGGTAGATACTTCGTCTACAATTTACTGAACAATATCCTTGTGAACATAGGTTTACCTATACAATTATTTGCAGACCAATAACGTTGACTGTCTCGAGTTTCTTCAAACAAGAAAGCGAGCGCCTTAGGGATGAAGACCTTTATAAATTATTGGTCGAGCTACGAAGACCTGGTTCGAATTTGAAACGGTTGAAGTGCCTGCCCGGTATATTGAAACTAGATCTGAGTCCCAGACCCGAAGAATTGCCCAGATGCTTGGATCCTGATTTGAGAAGACTGGTTCCGTACCCAGATGAGAAAAGCCGGCCAGTGAAGGAAATACTGGAGTTTCCAAGCGAAGTTCTCTCACCGGACTTAACTTACAGAAATCTTCTTTATATCTATCCCAAGGTGAATTAACGTTTGACAGTTCGAATAACAATGCAAACTGCTCTATTAACAAACGCCTGATTACAGGAAGCAAACTTCAGCTCCAGAACTGGTTCAGCCCGGAACATCGCGGTCCGAATTCAACTGATGGGTGGCGAACAAGAGGCGGACGCTCTCACAGCCATATTTGGAAGATCGTCCTGTCCCGAAATGACCCACGAGTGTTTCACATCCGTCTCCTATCACAACAAAAATCCAAACTTCTACGATGAAGTTAAAATTCGCCTGCCGGCGGACTTGAGTGCGAAGCATCATTTGCTGTTCACATTCTATCATATCAGTTGCCAGAAGAAGGTGGAACAGCCGAACGTCGAGACTGCTGTAGCGTACACTGTAAGCATAACTGCTTGTTCTAGTCTCAATGCCTATTTATTGAATCATTGCTGAAGACGTCCTTTATGTTCAGTGGCTGCCACTTCTGAGAGATGGCCACCTGCAATCCGGCGAGTTCAGTCTGCCAGCAATGCTGGACCCGCCCCCGGCAAATTATTCCTACATCGCACCTGATGTCCTCTTGCCTGGCACCAGATGGGTGGACGCACACAGAGGCGTTTTCACAGTGATTCTGGAACCGGTCTCCAGCGTGCACCCACAAGACAAATACATCGACAGGTAATGTGCTCCAGAGTGTCGTAACTCTCGCGGACATTTGATAGCAGGCACTAACTTATAAAATTGCAGGTTTTTATCGCTGTGCGGCTACTTGGAGACCGGCCAAGTGCCCCCGCGTATCGGCGAGGCTGGTATGGAGTCGGAATTAAAGTCAGCTCTGCTGGAGTTGGCAAGAGCTTCACATTCTGCTCTAGTGCGGTCATTACCCCAGCTCCTGGATCAATTAATATCGCTGCTGGTACGTCCACCCACATTGCCGTCGCAACCGCTGAACGTGGCAGCCACGGTCTTCGAGGCTATAGGTCTATTGGTACGCAATATCACCAATTTGCCGGATGGCCAGCTGGATGCTCATGGTAGACACGCACTTTTGGCGACCTACGTGGCGTACCAATGCTCCCTGCCGAGGATGACGAGCACCCCGGGCATCGTCAGAGCCCAGAGCAATCCTGACCTGCCCTTAGAAGACCTGGAGATGGAAGTGCACTCGAGAGGATTGGATCGGACCGCTTCGATGCGCCAGGAGTCGCCTTCCATTAACAGTCAACCGTCGAGGAGACTTCTACACGAGGAACTAGCTTTGCATTGGGTGGTGTCCACGGGTCAAGCTAGAGAACTAGCAGTGACCTACTCGTGGTTCTTCTTAGAGTTAATCGTCCGTTCCATGGTGGTCACATTGTCCGAGCTGGGGATGCTAGAGTCTCCTAGAAAATCGAGGTTCTCTCCTCAGTTTTGCGATGATGTGGCTACGTTAACTGCAGCATTGACGTCAGAGGTAGTGTCCCGATGCGGAAAGGAAACTAGGGTACCCAACAATCTGGTATCGAGCCTCGGCAACTTTTTATCCGATTTATTATCGGTAATGGACAGAGGATTCGTCTTGTCACTGATCCGAGCTGCCTGTTGCTCTTTGTCGGACGCTTCGATGCATATTCCTGACTCGGCTGCTTTGTACGCATTGAAATTGGATCTTGTGCGAACTGTGTGTTCCCATGAACACTACGTGGCGCTGAATCTTCCTTTCGGAACCGGATACACTTCAGGATCGGCGCCAGCGTCGCCGAGTCCGTCCACCGGAAGCTCTGGGAGTTTGATATCGACCCTTGTACCTGGGGATCGTGCTAGGTTCTCCGAACTTAGCCAGGAATTCAGGCAGCAACACTTTTTGGTGGGAATCGTGTTATCCGACCTGTCGAACACCTTGGAGATACCAAATCCAATGCTTCAGAACAAAGCAATTGGTACCATTCGTCATCTAATGGCTTGCCACGATGTGGACTCGAGGTATTCCGATCCTGCAGCTAAAGCCAGGGTAGCTGCCCTCTATTTGCCACTTCTGAACATTATCATGGACGCTTTACCTCAGCTGTATCACTGGGATTCCAAAGACAAGAGCGTCTATCCGGACGAGTCTGGGTCCATCACACAGACAGTAGCGCTGGCTATAGCTGGCGGAGTTTCCGTGGAGACAGCAGGAACCCAGTGCAGAGTGTCCCTGAGCTCAGAAGCCACGCGACATCTTCTGATGTGTGTGCTTTGGGTGTTAAAAGGCTTGGAACAGTCGGCGTTGGTGCAGTGGTGCTCGGAGTTGAGCTCCAGACGAATATTGTGCCTTCTTCAAGTCCTCAACATTGCCACCGCCGCTTTCGAGTACAAGGGCAAGAAAGCTCTGAAGAGGCTGCCACCTCAAGCTGCTGCCACCAGCGATATCAGGTCACGATTGGAGGATGTGATCTTGGGTCAAGGTAGCGCCAGAAGCGAGATGATGTTGCGCAGGAAAGAGAGAATCAGTGGGGAGAAATTGAGGTGGCGCAAGGATCAAATGCCCTACAGGTGAGCAAAAGTGTGTTGTAGCTCGTGACAGATTTTTGTGAAATTGATTTCAATCTGCTTTGGATCTGTAAAGGTCTTTCGAGCAGTCAGAAGGAAGAGCCGTGGAACAGGATGCTCATATAGAAGGTGCCTTAGCAGCTGAAGCCTCCCTCGTGGTTCTGGATACTCTCGAGACTGTAGTGCAGGCTGATGGTGGCGGAGGTAATGTTCTTCTCGTTTTGAACCGTACTTTCGAAGGCAATGTGCTTATAATTTGCTTAAATTATGTAGGTGCGGTAGTTGGGGCAGTGTTAAAAGTACTTCTAAGAGCTCTGGCAAGGAATCAGAGTACGTCCGTGTTACAGCACATGTTCAACACGCAACGAGCCCTGGTATTCAAGTACCACAGTGCTCTGTTCGACGAGGAAAGCGAAAGATGCGGTGATCTTTGCTTAACACTGCTCACCAGGTGCAGTTCTCCACTCAGCGCTGTTCGCAGTCATGCTGCTGCCAGTCTTTACTTGCTCATGCGCCAGAACTTCGAAATAGGCAACGTACGTATCCAAAAAATGACCTTCTGTTAAACTATGCCATTCGGACTAGCAAATCAATAAAATGAATCAATTGCAGAATTTCGCTCGAGTCAAGATGCAAGTTACAACGTCGTTATCAGCACTCGTCGGAAGAGGAAAAGCTCCCAGCGAGGGTGCGCTTAGGAGAGCTTTGAAGACAGTGTTGGTCTATGCTGAAAGAGACACAGAATTGGCTGACACGAGCTTCCCCGAGCAAGTGAAGGATCTTCTGTTCAACTTGCACATGATCTTGTCCGATACCGTTAAAATGAAAGAGTTCCAAGAGGATCCGGAAATGCTCTTGGATCTTATGTACAGGTGGGTACCTGTCTTCAATCTGCAAAGGAAACTTCGAAGCAACATTGACCTATTATTGTATTCTATTCGATAGAATCGCGAAGGGATATCAAGGGTCTCCAGACCTCCGATTGACGTGGTTAGCAAATATGGCTCAGCAACATATGGAGAGAAAGAATCATACGGAGGCAGCAATGTGTTTGGTGCACAGTGCCGCTTTGGTAGCTGAATACTTGCACCTTTTAGAGCCAGGAGGTGGCGGTAGACCAGTCGGAGCTGTTGCTCTGTGTCCTGTCACTCCAAACGCTTTAGAAGAGAGCGCTGTTGGCGATGACGTGTTAGCCAGAAGGGAAGAGGGTCTCTGTTTAGGCCCCGACTTCTCAGAAAGTGGATTAGCAGGGTTGCTAGAACACGCTGCTAGTTCTTTCCATGCTGCTGGAATGTATGAGGCTATTCCTGATGTGTACAGAGTCTTGCTACCGATAGCAGAAGTTGCACATGATTATAAGAAGTTGGCGAATATTCATGGGTAAGCCATGATTAGATCATTAATCTTTTCTTAAATGGAACCATGTATTTTTATTATGTTCGTTTCACTGTAGGAAGCTGCATGAAGCGTATACACGTGTCGAACAGTTAGCTGGTAAAAGGGTATTCGGCACCTACTTCAGAGTAGGTTTCTATGGAGGACGATTTGGAGACCTAGCTGGTGAAGAGTTTGTCTACAAAGAGCCTACTTTGACTAAGTTGCCAGAAATATTCTCGAGACTGGAGAATTTTTACGCCGAAAGATTCGGCGCTGAAAATATTGTGATAATCAAGGACTCTAACCCTGTGGACCCTAGTAAACTGGAGCCGGACAAAGCTTATGTGCAAATCACCTATGTGGAGCCATATTTTGAGCCACATGAACTCAGACACAGACCAACCATTTTCCATAGAAATTTTAATATTAGTGAGTAGTGTTGCAATTATCTTGTGGCGACTTTTGTAGCTCCGACTATAATTCTTTAATATTTTTTAATATAATAATAACATATTATAATATATATAATAATATATAAATATAATAATATAATTTTTTAATATTTGCAGAACGATTCGTGTATGCTACACCTTTCACACCCGGCGGCAAGGCACATGGGGAATTGAGGGAGCAATGCAAGCGTAAAACAATTCTAACAGTGGCCACACATTTTCCCTACTTGAAAACGAGGATTCGTGTAGTTGCTAGGAAGCAAATCGTCCTTAGCCCAATTGAAGTTGCAATTGAGGATATTCAAAAGAAAACAGCAGAGGTATCTATCATTTGCACTCAAATACATGCTGTTTCCTAGTTTTGTTACATCTGCATCTTATCTTTCAGGTTGCAGCAGCCACTGCCCAAGAACCACCTGATGCAAAAATGCTGCAGATGGTTCTTCAGGGTTGCATTGGCACCACGGTTAATCAAGGACCCGCCGAAGTTGCGGTCGTCTTTCTTTCTGGATTGCGTGAGCAAAATGCACAACCTAGCCGATTGCAACATAAGCTGCGCTTGTGTTTCAAAGACTTTTCAAAGAAATGTCTAGATGCCTTGAGAAGAAACAAGAACTTAATCGGCCCGGATCAGCGTGATTATCAACGAGAGTTGGAGAGAAATTACCAAAGACTCACTGAGAGACTAGCTCCTCTCATTGCGTGGAGGTAAGATGGATTTCATTTTCCTAGATTATATAATTACGTATTTACCCATTACTTGTAACTAATTTCATCTCAATTACAGTGGACCATCATTAATGAATCAACAGACTACACAGCAAACATCACCACGCTGGTAAAATGACTGAGTGCTGCTAAGAATGACCAAAGATGCGTAAACACATAAATGGTACATTGAGAAGTATTAGCAGCATAATCCGCATATGAAAGAAAAAATATAATCATATATTTATATACAATAATTTTTTATATTGCTAGATATTTTGAGCTGTCAAATGAAATGTCTGTTTGAGACATTTGAGAAGAGATGCTCTTATAATAATATATTAAAAGGAATTATTGCTAGTCCTATAGTTAACAATGCAATGTAATTGCTGCGAATACTTCAACATTGATAAGATAAAACAGTTTAAATTTCGTAAATACTGCCCATGGATAACAATAATATGTAAACAAAGTGGGCCATTTAAAACAGATCACCTGAATAACTCGTTCGTATTTATTAATAAAAAAAGAAGTTCCTGACAAAAATTGCTTGGCTTCAAAGGGCACATAATATGATTGTAATAATTTTGTGATGGGTGGAAGCATAGAGGACATGTGAAGATCAAACCTATTTTTTTAAATGGAATGATATTTTTATTTCAGAAAGAGTAACATTTATTTGAAACACTTTTTTGT